CTCTTATGAACGCTACACCCTCTCACTTATCTGCTTGTGTGCTGGATTTTCGTACAATGCTAAGACGCTAAAATAAATATTTCTCTACCGCCGCGAATATTCCAGGACACAACAGTGATAAATTTTATAGGGGAACTTATATTTATAATTTTAAATATTAATAGTTAATAAAATTAAATTTATATTTGTTGTGTCATGGAGTATTCGCGGCAATAGAGAAATATATAATTTAAAGTCTTAACGTTATACGAAGATCCATCACACAATCAGATAAGAGAGAGGGTTTAGTGTTCATAAGAGACACCAGAGTTTTTACATGGAAACCCCTGAAAAGGAGAAAAAACCACAGGACCTTGCCTAGTTTGAATTAATCCACTAGTATTTGCAATCAATTACAAACGAGACCCTTCCTTGGGAGAAGGCCTTGGCTTGATGTCATAATTGTACATCAAATAGAGCACATTGCATGATGGGAGTTACAATAATCAACATAGCTATATTTGTTTGGTTTGAAGGGTCATAGTCGGCACGAGACAGGGGACCGAAAGATCATAGTTCGCAGGAGACCAGGGTCAGAAATATCATAGTTGGTAGAAGATCGGGTCAGAAAGACCGTTGTCTAGCGATGGAAGTCGGAAGGATCATATTAGGCGTAGTCGGCAGGAGATAGGGATCCGAAAGACCGTAGTTGGCAGAAGACCAACGTCAGAAAGACTATTGTCTGGTGATGGAGGTCTGAATGACCATATTAAGCGATAGAGGTCAGAAGGACCTTAGTCGACAGGAAACAGTAGGGGTGTCAATTCGGGCCGATGGGTCGGTTTTGGGTCGAACCGGAGTTGACCCAGTTCTAAAAGGGTGAACTCGAACCCGACACATTTTTGTAAACGGGTCGGCTATCACAACCCGGACCTGACCCGTGCGGGTTGCCGGTTGACACGATCAGACCTGGTAGCGGCAGCAGGCGAGCAGCGGCCGGTGCAAGTGGACAAGGCATCACCAGCTAGCAGGAAGCAGGCGCAAGGGGCCTAGCATGTGAGCGGTGAAGCGTGCAACACGATTCAAGAAAGTGGCAACGTGGGCAACCGGGCAGGGACGCAGCAGCTGAAAAAGGGCGTGACTGGGCTACATGTGAAAGTAGGCAACGTGCTTTCAACCTGGTACACATCATGATGGGAAACACAATTCAAGCAAGAGGCAACGCAGGCAGCGAGCAGGGGTCATTTCCGGATCATTTTCGGGTTCCCTGGTCAACCTGAACCCGACTTGATTTTTGAAACAAGTCAGTTTATTGAACCCGAACTCAACTCATTTCACAAACAGTTTGACCCGAACCGAATTTTTTCAGGTATGGATTCAGACAGGGTAAAAAATTGATACCACTAGGAGACAAGGGTCCAAACATTGTAGTTGGTAGGAGACCGGGGTCAAAAAGATCGTTGTTTGATGATGGAGATCGAAAGGACCATAGTCGACAGGAGACATGGGACAAAAAATCGTAGTTGAAGGGCAGTATTTCGAGAGAACTCTTGGTATCAAGTGGTGGCCCAATAGAACTCCGAGTCTCAGGTTGTGGTCGGATAGAATTGCGGGCCTCAAGTGGTGGTACAACATAAGTTTGGGACTCTGGCGGTAGTATGGCAGAACCCGTAAATAGGTGAGAGATCAAGGGTAAATGGGGAGTGGTTGGATGGACGGCGGATGTTGAATCCCTTAATTGTATACCGTTCGTCAGATAATTAAAGGTCTTAATGATGTCGGAATTCAGTGATCTTGGGCTCGTTGGATTTGTCTTGTCAAGCCGCTCGATTTGACTATAATCACGTCATGTTTGGAAATATTTTGATAACCCAATAAATTGTGGTTCGAACCTTCCAATAGCACTTCAGGTCCTTGATTTGGACTCATTTGGGCTTGGATTGAATCGAATTTGGTGTCGTTGGGTTCATATTTTCGAGACGTTCAGTTCGACTGTAAGTTTGCTGAAATCAGAGTTTGGATGGTACCAATTTTAATTTTAGAAGTTTCCAACTTGATTTTGCATTGAGATTCGTGCATGATCAAGATGATTTTTTGATAACTTATCAATATTATTTATTTATTTATTATATTATGATAAAACTATTAAGAATTTAATAAATATTTTAAATAAATTAAAAAATAGAAATAAGGAATATTATTCGGTAATTTAGGTGCCTCAAATTTAAAATAAGCGCGTTAAGTGTCCGTCAAAATGATAACGGAGTTTAATTTATTGAAAGAGAAAAGGCAAATTAAAGTCGTCGTTTTTTTTTGGAAGGGAGGCAAAAAATATACAAAATCATAAACCCTTGTTTTTGGTTTCCTTCGCCATCTACTGCGAAGGCCAAGCTCTCGTTTTTAAAAAACCCGATAAATGCGTTGAGGAGAGAGAAAGAGACAAAGAAGAGTCAGAGGAAAAGCGAGCGAGAGGAGAAAGAAGAGCGTTACAACGATCGAGAGAAAGAGATTCGACGAACGTCATTGCTGATCCGACATTCATCTGATAACTAGGGTTTCAGTGGCCCAGCTTCTTTGATTTCTTGTTGTAGCTTCTTATTCAGCGGAATTACTTATATTTCGGCTTTGGTCTGAGAACGTGGCAGTCAAATTGCTATGGATCGGCACGTTGCGGCTCGTTTTAATTTGTAACTGTATTATTTGTGGGTTATTTATCTGATCTGTGCCCTAATTTTGCATAGATCTGATGCATTTTTGCTGATTTCGAGAAATGCATTTAGTTTGGATGGAAAAGCTCAAATTTTGTGTGTTACACCGGTAGAGATAGTGTTGGAGATCCTCGTTGAATAAGATATATTGGATCTTTACGGAGTACGGAGCTTTTTTTTGGTAGTGGAAACCATGGATCTCGCTGTCAGTTGGCATGTCTGCAGTAAAGGGATTAGGATGAAATGTGCCATTTTCAATATGGTAGTTTGAATCAGGAAGCGGAGGATTGAGCAACAGACAATATGGGAAGTATTAGTACAGACGATACGTTAGGTGAACGTAGCTTTTTCCCACCATGGTATTCTATTCTTGGACTTCAAAATTCATTTGGTTTGCTTCTTATTTTTCTTTTCTCTCTGGATTCAGTCAAGAGGCGGTCACTTGTAGAGTGGCTAAATAGTCTGTTTCCGGGCCTTGATATTCCATTGGAAGCGTCAGAGGAAGAAATTAGGGTGCTATTGTCTGATGGAACAGTTTTATGCGGAATTTTGAACCAACAAGATCCTGGTTTCTTGGCGGTATGGTCATTAACAGATCAAACTTTTCAAACCTGTGAAGTGTTTTAGGCTAGAAGTAAAGTCATTATATGAGTTTCCTGAAAATTTGCTGCAGAGTCAGAGATGCGCATATATGTCATCTGAGCCGTGTCGGGAAAAGGTCAGGAGATTCCTTTTAGCCATAGAAGAAATGGGCTTGCCCCTATTTGCTGCCGGTGATTTGGAACATGTAAGGGCCAGTTCCTTAAGTGAGAGAAATTGATACATAAACTTTTTATAGCAAAAATAGATTATGTTAGCCACGCCCTATCTTTAAATGCTTGCTTAGATAAAATTTCGAAGAAGTTTTTGTTTCTGCTTACTGGGAATGGTGTACTGTCATTTTTGAGTCCCGATTAGATTCACTATTCACTTTTGTTGCAGGGACCCATTTCTGCAGTTGTTGACTGCCTTCTAGCTGTTAGGGATCGATTAAGTTTTGAATATAGTGAAGGGGATATTCATGTGATTTCCAACTCGGGAAAACAAGCTAGAGAGAAGTGGATCAAAACAGGAAATTGTGGAGATTCTATAAATGCTGCACAAGGAAACCACATTCAAATGGGAAAAAATTCTTCATTCAGAGAAGATAAGAAAATGAACTTTTCAGAGAAAAAGTCTGATTTGCATGTCCCTGCCATATCAGGTAAGGTGCATATTGCTTATACATATTGGCACTTGCACGCTAAGTTTAAGAAGAAGTAAAGCAAAACTTCCTTGCCTCCACGCTCCACACTCCACACTCCACACTCCTGATACCGGACAGACCATGGAGATCAAATCAACAGTGAAAACAATAATTGACCCAAATAAACAAATAGAATTTCTTGTGGACATACATTTGGTGTGTCACACTATCTCTACAATGTTAGAACTTTAGAGAGCTTTGTAGGTTAGGGTTAAACTTTTTTAGGTATTGTTGTGCTAGAAAATAAAGTCTCTACTTGTAAAAAATTGAACAAAATGTAGTGCAAGTATATTGTCGATTTTTGTGAAGCTATGAAGGAGATGCTCGTGAAGTATATCATTTTTTATCATACAGTTTTTTGCAATTTTCAGAATGTAGTGCAAGTATATTGTCGATTTTTGACATGTAGGGTTTTGGGAAGGAAAATCAATTGAAGAGTATTTCCAAATTAGCTCCAAATCTCCTTGATTTCTATGAACCCTAATTTGATGCCATTTTGTCTTGCCATACGTGAGTACCCCTTTTCCATCCTACGACGACTCCAGTCTTAAAACCACTAGTTCACCACCACAAAAGCATTATTTACGTAGTTTTCAAGTCTTATAAATGAAGTAAATCATGTTTCTTGACAGGAATTTGGGATCTTCCTAAATAATTTAATTGGAATATCAAGGAAATCTTTTAGTTCTAACTAGGGATGCTCCAACTGTCAATTGCTTTTAGGAGAAGTTGGCGGTTGAGTTGTACCCTACTTTCTGGATCACTTATTTGCAAAAATGGCTTTGCCGTCAGCTAGTTGAAACAACTTTTTGTGTTGTGACATGGGCGGAGCTAAAAAAAATAGTGAATGTGCTGTAATCAAAGCTGTAAATTTTTTGGACATTAACATCAAAGCATATTAACTGCTCGTAGTTATGGTGTGGAATTTTTAGTTGTAAAGGACTAACTATTGTTTTATACTAGATTTTACACAGAAAATGGAGTTTTTCATGTAGTTAACCGTTTATGTTTTTGTAGAGCCATCAACGTCCTCATTGAATCACGAGGGACACAAATTTCGTGAGGTGTTCCAGCTAATGCAAGGACATTTTTCAGATATTCCTGCTACCAAGTTTTCAGAAATAATGAGATCAAATGGTTTAGATGTAATTTCTAATTTTATCTTTTATGCTTCATGCTATGTACTTCATCTGAATTGTTAAAAAATTCTTAACCTCTTTATAAAATTTTATGGCTTTTCTTGTTACCCTCAGAATGTTCCAACCCAATCACTTCTGAGTGCAATCAACCGTATTCTTAATGACAGCATAGAGAAGAAAAATGAAGAGATACCTCATGTATGTTTCTGACTGAAACTGTGTTCAGACACTTTTTTCCCCAAATTTCTAGATCCTTGAAAACCATATATATATTGTTATATTTTATTACCTGAGCAATCTAATAAGAATATTTTGTTTTAAACAATTCAGCCTGTAGCAAGCTTACTGCAAAAAGTTATGCAAGAGATTGAACGCCGTTTTTCAATGCAGGCAGAACATATTAGAAATGTAAGATGATATTTATTAATCAGTTATTTAGTTATACATATCAACTCTGCTTATAGACAATTTAACATTTTTTATTTGCAGCAAAATTATTTTATGAAAGCACGTGAAGGGAAGTATAAATCAAGAATTAGGTTGATCGAGACACTGAGAGCTGGGACAACTGAAGAAATACAAGTACTTTTGCTTAAGATTCTGTATATTGTGACATTATTTTATTGAGCTTAAATGTTGTTGCTGATGTGTCTAATGTCCATCTCACATTATAGATTGCATCGAACCAACTCCGAATGATAAAGGTTCGTGTCTTATCTACTATTTTTGGATTAGAATTTAATATATTATATTTTATTTTATTTACATTCATGATAAATGCTTCGATTTCTTTTAATTTCACTTTAAAAAGAAGCTTCCCATCAATTGTGTAAATTTCTATTCCCCTTAACCGTTATTTAGAATTTCATTCATTAAGATGTACAGTTTAAGCATTAGCTGTTCTAAGGTGATTGAATTATACCTATATTCCTTGCAAAAATTATGAAAGCGATTCATTATTTTTATGTATGATGGCGAATTCATTTTTTTTTGCTCTTTCCAAAATTGATGCTGTTTGGTTAATGGTTCTCGCTTGCAATTCATGACGAGTTTCAATCCCTCTCATTTTTCAAAAAAATTATTAATGATAAACAACTCTCTTGTTATTTTCTAATGTCTATTGTTAATCTTAAACTGAATTTTGGTGCATTGTCATTTGGTTATATTTTGTTTGTGATGACCAATTTTTCTTGGGTTTGACTGATAAATATGGCGTGGTAATCTTTTGCGAGACAACTATTAGATTATTTCTGTAACTATGGAAACCAATACTTCGTTTTTTGATGTGAAACGTACAAGCATGGATGATTAAATTAAGGAAGTTTGCATGAACTATGGAAACCAATACTTCGTTTTTATTTATCAATTTATGGAGTTTGTAAGCTACTTTTAGTCAATTTTGTCAACTGATGTGACTAACAATGTAGATAAATATAGTGCTCTACTTTTTCACCAGTGTTTATAATATCCTCTAAGTTCATAGAATTCTATATATTATTACAAGATAATGCGTGTTTTAATGTAATGCACATTGTGAATGCTGAAAATGGTTAGAGAGATCGATGGATTGGGTTGACCACATGTTCCGATTGGTTCACCAAGAAAGAATAAGAAAGGTTCAAATCAAGGCAAAGCTGGTTTATTTCCAGATGCCAAGTAAATCTGATTGTTTAGATAGTGAGGAGGAGAAGAAAATGAGACAGCTTAAAATGTTTTAGGTGATTCAATATTATAGCTTATATTCATTGTATAAGGGGGAGGAATGCACTACTTTGGTAGGTAAGGATTACATAGGTTCTCAACCCCCAAACTCACTCTCTTGAGCTATGATTCTACATAATAATTGAGTTTGAGTTCATATTTATAGCTTTTGTGTATATTTTGTCTTTTTTAAGAATGCCTCACAAAGGAATGTGAATAAGTAGGCCTTGCCTTAGGTTCTTAAGCGGATTATGATGTAGGAGCCACGAGTAACTGGGTTTGGAAATGATAGGTAGTCTTCCACTTGGTGGTTTTGGAGGCGATCACATGCTAAGTGACAGACATTAGATGATCGAAGGATTGGTGGTTTTTTTATTCTTAAAAGTGATGAAGACTCATATCAAAGAGATGTGGTGTTGTAGGTAATATTTTTGGCGTTGCCTTTAACTATGTATAGGAAATGTCAATGTGTCTCCTGTTCTATGTGTGTCTCCTGTTCTATTGTGTGGCTAGATTGGTTGATGACAGTTATAGATGCACTAGGATAAACATGTATAATTTTTTGAAGTGAGGGATAACTTCGATCATGGTAAAATAAAAATTTTGTTGAACTTTTTGATGGTTGATCCTGTTGTTATCATGTGGATGATCCAACCGGTATATGATGACATGAAAATGATAGGAAGTGCTTGTAAAAATTTAGGAAATATCTTGGATGAAATCTGATTTCAGCAATTTCAGAAAACCAACGACAATAAAACTAGGATTAAAAACACAAGAACAATTTTCCGTTGAAAGTTTATTGAAAGAAAAGACAAGATACAAGTGGATCTTCAATTGGAGAGGAAGATCCGGCTCTCCCAATTATTTAGCCGCCGGCTAGAGCCCAAACGCCCTAAGAGCAATCTAATTTCAGCAACCAACACATACCCTGACCCTAAAAAAATCACCTATTTAAAGAGAACAATAAACAACAAATACTCAAACAGCCATTTACTAATTCCCTCATATTTGCTGAATTATTTCCCTCTCAAATCAGCCCATAAATATGTCATCTTCAATTAGGAAATATTTCCTAATTAATCCTCTCCAAATTAGCCCCCAAATCCGTCTTCTTCAATTAGGAAATATTTCTTAATTAATCCCCTTCAAATAAGCCCCCAAATATGCTATCTTCAATTATGAAACATCTCCTAATTAATTCTCTTTGATTAAGAACCTTCCTAAACAACTCTCTCTTGATTAGAAAATTTTCTAATTCCCTTCCAAGTTCCAATCAAAGTGGCCAGACGGCGAGTCCATCCATAACCTGTATGGTATTCTTTGGGTTATGTGAGAAGTTTTCTTCAATTCTAATTACAAGAGACAAGAAGAGGTCATCGTTTGGCAAATCAGGACTAGCCTATGAATTGGCATTGGATTAACCTCTTATGAATCATGCTTTGAATCCATCTGAACTTGAATTCAAATTATTTGGACATGTTGATAGCTTTGATGAGGCACACAATGAGTTGTTAAACTCTTTTTCACTTTAAAATCATATAAATAGGCATTTTTAGCAATTTTGATACCTCACTCATGCAATTCCTTCCTCGTCCTCCCTGAATCCTTTCTCTCCTTTGATATTTGTAGATAAATGATTGAGAAGTTATCACGACCCGGCCCGATTAAGCTCAAATTAACGAGGCGGGAAACATATGGTCGTACGGAAAATTTAAAACCTTCATTCCAATGTAATATATCATATCATAATAATCATCCAAACAAAAGTAAGAAAGAGTCACTAATTCAAAACAACATTTTATTTCATCGATAAACAAGTACATGTAATTCTACAATAAAAAAGTGTATTTCATTCTATTACATGACATCAAAAATAACAAAAAAGAACCTGTCTTCTGGTGATTCCCTACGACGATAGGTGAACAGCTGCTTGCTAGCCATCACCGATTAGCGGGCTCTCCTGAAAAGCATCACACAATTAGGGTGAGTTAAAACTCAGTATGTAACATGTTATTCGATCAATTTCAGAAAAACAAGGTAAAGAGACACATTATGCATGCTAATTTTATGGTACAATGCAGTAATAAACTAAAGAAAGAAACAGTAAATGTGTTATGCAGTTGTAACTGGTGTGCTTAAGTCTGTATATCATTCTATATGATCGTTTTACATTTAATATGTCTGTAACATTTTACATTTCACTTTTTTTTTTTCATGTTTTCCTTTATACTCTTTATGCATATAACATATTCATATCTTATACATCCCATGCAACTTGATTTTTGAAAGCGAGGGAGATTAGTGACTGAGAGATGTTGCGGCATTGCATGAAATATTCTCCCTACAGGAAGTGACCTAGTGATGCCTATTGAATATCCAAAACTAGTTGCAAAGGTTGTGAATGCACTAAGAAAAAAATGTAGAATCATTTGCAGTCCAAGGAATAACTCTGGCTGTGGTGAAGGAGTGTTTCAGGTAGATTTACTGGGGATTGATCCTATGAGCAACTCTTGTGTGATTAGACCGACGTACGATAAAGTTGAAACAAAATTCAAATCTTTTGGGCATGTTTATGGTTTTGATGAGGCACAGATAGAGGCTTTACAAATATTTTGAAATTAATTTTTAAGCAGTTTTGGCTTTACAAATATTTTGAAATTAATTTTAAGCAGTTAGATGACATCCACGCTTATTTGTTCATGCTTGTTATATTGTTCCATTCTTGGCATTGATCAAAGAGTAGGAGGAAATTTCATAATTCTCGATCAGTTACAATTTTTTCTGTAGCATCTTAGTGATTATATTTAAAGACTTCTTAGTTATTGAGTACTTGAAGGGTGAGTTGCAAAATCCCATAGTCAAGGTAAGCTTGGCAATGATGGACTTGGAAGTTGTGACCTCCTGAGTTGCCCGGGGTGCAGTAAGAGATGTTGCCTTGATGGACTCTTTTTCCATCCTTTTCTATCTTTTCCTCCTGTATAACTATCTGCCTTGGAGTATCTAGTTCTAACACGAAAATAATCATTGTCTTGGGTTCCAAGCAAATTAAAACTAAACAAATCTCGAATACAATTCTCAAACAGCCTTAAACAAAAATGTCTCCCACCACGTTGTTAATTACAGTGCTTCAACTAAAATAACTGGTAGCCATTGATGTTTCAAAGGCCTTTCTTCTCAAATGTTATCCATCACTTTGTTACTTAATGTTTTCTTTATAGTCTCTCCAGACAAAAAATAGGCTTTTTTGCTAAGCTTAATTGGAATAACATCATACTTCAGGGACAGAAGACCCAAATGGAAGAGCGTTGCAAGCAGGTGGAGCAGTATTCATTGAAGTTGATCAAAGAGAAAGAGGATAGCGATCAAGTGATTATAGAACTTAAGCAAGGTCTGGAAACAGCAAAGAACACATATGAAGATCGTTACCAGCAATTAGAAATTGAAACAAAGCAAAATGAAGCAAGATTACAAGAAAGAATAAAGGAGGTTGAACTCTTGCTATCAGCATCAACTAAGAGGATAAATGAACTCGAGGCATTCTCTGAGTCAAAATTCCAGAGTTGGAATCAAAAGGAGAATGTGTTTTACAATTTTATTTCTTCTCAACTGCAGTCAGTTAAGGTGTTGAATTATTGATTTATATTTGTTTTGTTCTTTGTTCATTTAATTAGATTGATTCCGATTTGAAGAAAGTGGTTAATTTTGTCTATATCAGAGCTTGAAAATTTCCTCAGAATCCATCAGGCTAGAAGTTGTAAACTCTCAAAGGGATTGGAGGGAAGAAATGAATAGCATGGGTATAAATGATGTAACTTTAAGCATCTTTTATTTATTATTACAATGCTTTGATCTTGCTATTCTTTTCTATGGTTATGCAGGGGTTAGACTTAAAGGTTTAGCAGATGCTGCTGAAAACTATCATACGGTTCTTGCAGAAAATAGAAAGTTATACAATGAAGTTCAGGAACTAAAAGGTATATACTAAAGTTTTAGAATATTAAATCTTTGTTTTGTAAGCAGAAAAGGTTGCCTTGGCATGCAGCCTTTTAACATTTATCCATGTTTGGTTTTTGAAGTCTTTTTCCAATCGTTCTTGTTCATTGAGAAGTGAATGCCCATACATCCAACATAGTCTAACTCAATGAAAGAAAATAAGTAGAAACTGCATTTTGTCAGGAAATATCAGAGTGTATTGTCGGATAAGACCTTTCCTACGAGGGCAAAATTCAAAGTTAACCACAATCGACTACATTGGTGAGAACGGTGAGCTCGTCCTTGTGAACCCCTCCAGGCAAGGAAAAGATAGCCATCGGATGTTCAAGTTCAACAAGGTCTTTGGCCCAACTGCTACTCAAGGTTCTTAATTTTCTTGGCACGTGCTTATTTTTGATTTTTTCTTGGATTATATATTTCTTAAAATAATCCACTGATAACTGCATCTAACGTTCCATTTTATGACAATGACAGCACAAGTTTTCTTGGATATTCAACCATTGATTCGTTCGGTTCTTGATGGCTACAATGTGTGCATCTTTGCATATGGTCAAACTGGGTCGGGTAAAACATTTACAATGGTATAATCATGGTTTTTTATAAACGTATATTTTTTCAATCTACTTTATATAGCAGCGTACCTCTAAAATCTGATATTCCTTTTATTCGAACTTTTGGCAGAGTGGACCAAACATTTCTTCAGAGGAAGAGTGGGGGGTCAACTACCGAGCCTTGAGCGATCTATTTCATATGTCGCATGTTAGGAGAAATGCCTTCACGTATGAAGTAGGTGTTCAAATGGTTGAAATCTATAATGAGCAAGTTCGTGATCTGCTTTCCAATAATGGCTCACAGAAACGATATCCTTGCATTATTATTGGCTTTAAGATGCTTAATGCTAAATGGCTAAAATTGTTAAGATAATATCATTTTGGTGCTTTTTTTTTTTCCAGTGCTTAATGATGATATAACTATGATGATTGAAGTTTTTACAATATAGGTGCTCTTTAAGGTTATCAAATATGCCATTTGCTTATTTCATTACATTTAAAAAGTACATTCATGTAAAGATGGTTATTTTCAATATCCCATGTTATGTGTGAAATTTAATCCTCAATTTGTTGTTGGCAATGAAATATTTGAGTCACTGTGATGCAAATTTGGAGTTGCAGTGGCTGCTATTGGTTTTATCAGGTGAAATTTCCCTGTGCGATTTCCTTCTATGGCTATCTTAGAATTGTAGTTGGGTTTGGCATCTTCCATCTTTGAACTTTCCTTTGCGGGTGCCATAACTTTGATGTTTCCTTCAACAGCATTGTTCCTCGGAGTTTAGTATATTTTTGGGGTTTTTTGGCTCCTTATGACATTCCACTGTAGCTCTGAATTTGATCGGCAAGTTTTTTTTTTCCTTTTGAGCTTCCTTCCATCTACAGCCATGTCTTTCTTGAGCATTGTTGGCTAATTAACTATTGGTTGCCTTCTTTTATCTGAATTCTACTGGCTGTAGCTTAAAAAATGGACATAGTTTGAATTTACTGGAAACAAATTCTAAAAGTGGAAACTTATTGTTTTGGCTAAAACTGAGATTGGAAACTTCCAATTTTTTTTGACTTAGAACTTGTAGTATTCGGCTAGATTATAGATGATATAGGGAAGTTGTTATTTTGGGAATTTTTTAAATGCCTAGTAGAACATTCATGACTAAAGCAAAAATATATGAGTTTAAAGCTGATCCTTGATGTAATCCAATTGAAATAAGAAATACTTGGTTAAACCACCTTGTTTTTGAAAGCAAGTAATAACTCCCGTAATAACTTGAATTAATTAATATAAGCAGTATTAACTTATTTCTTTTCTAGAACTCTCCAAAATAGTTCTCTTAGAACTTTTATCATATGCTTTCTCTAAATCAATAAATATCAAATCTAAAATTCTAAATCCTCCTTACTCTCTCTATACCTCTCCATCAAACCTCTCAGCAAATATATAGCTTCCATAGTAGACCTCCCCGCCATGAATTCAAACCGATTTTGAGAAACATTGGTATCATGTCGTAACATTTTTTTTAATTATCTAAAATTCTAAATCCTCCTTACTCTCTCTATACCTCTCCATCAAACCTCTCAGCAAATATATAGCTTCCATAGTAGACCTACCCGCCATGAATTCAAACCGATTTTGAGAAACATTGGTATCATGTCGTAACATTTGTTTAATTACTCATAATTTTAACATATGACACATTAACTAAATTTCTCTATAATTCACGTAATCTTATGCATCACTTTTATTCAAAACAAACAAACTCCTTCACTCATCTGACATCATTTTAGAAAATTATATTTAAAAGTTTAGTAAGCCAAGAAATTTCTTGATCTCCTTAGCATTTCCATACTTCTATTGAGATATCAAACGTGAAGGGTTTACTAAACCTTTAAGAAATTAACCTTAAGAAAATGGGGTCATCTAAAAGTCTAGAGCGAATTGGGATATATCTGTTATTATTCCAAATTTTAATGTATTTAATTTGACTTTGGTTTATGGATTTGTAATGAATGCTGTTGATGCTTCTCTTTTCATATCCTAGTTGAGAATTTTCATACAACACCTATCAAATAT